TGAGCCACAAATATCCCTCTGCTGTCCTTGTTTATTTACACAAGCATTACAGAGCAGTTGGGGCCAAGTTCCCTGCATGGAGGTAAGGCAGCGCAGGCTTTTATGGCGGAACACATCTGCGGTGTGCTGTGGGGCAACCGGGGCCACAACACATGGGCCAAATGAGCCTGTTTGTAACTTTGGATAGCAGTGGTCCTTAACTGGTTGATGAGAACCAGTTGCTCATCATCATTTCCAATGTGAACCACTCTCAGGAACTAATGTACCACAGAGCCCCAGAGGTCACCAGAAGAAGAGCGAGAGATATCATTAGATAGAAAACAGGTTGTTCTTTTTTCAACACGCAGATGGGGTAAAGGGGAAAAGAAATATTGAAATGGGTGAAGAGGAAGAAGAGAGAATAAATAATGTGTTGAGTTATGAAAAAAAGGGCGAGCCGACTGTGTGCACATCTGTTTCATTCAGTGGAAACTCAAAGCCCAGCAGAGTGACCTCTAAGCAGGGTGGCCCATTCATTTGAAACAATTACCAAACTGCTGCTGTAGTCCTTCAGCCATTGTTTAAATGTGAATGTTCTGTATGAGAATACTGGCTCTTCTTTATCATATTTGCCTAATGTGGGTTCTGACTACAGTAAATAGTTACTCTTGTAGCTGCATGGGATAGTAGCACATGTACTGAAGTGTGATCTCTCTCTCTGTCTTTTTGTCCTTTTCCACAGAAAACAGCAGTACTGATCAGAAGCAGGCGTGTAAGAAGCATGAGCTCTACGTCAGTTTCAGAGACTTGGGGTGGCAGGTACGAAAAACATTCCTCTCCAGGTAGCCAAAATTGCTTGGCCCAACAGAAGCCTTACTCAGACCCTCCTGGTTGCTGGTTTTAACCCAGAATCATGATAAATAATAAACACTAGAATCAGTCCACGTAATACTTAAACCCAAGGGTGTATATTTCCATAGGGGATAGGGGACAAGGACAAGTCCACCACACTTTTACAGGTTCAGCTTGATGTAGTCACCAAAAATCTACTCTTACTGTCCAGCTGCCACACAACATGCAGTCTTTGAGTCATTTTGGGTCATATGCTCAGAGAAATAAGCGTAAGATTTTTATTCCCCTGGGTCTGAATCAAGTTGTCTTGAATTTTGCCTAAGGGAGGGTGGACACCCACAGTGTCAGACTTTGAAAACCTCTGACGAAAGAACTTCATTGTGTCTAAGGCATATTTTGCTTGACTCTGCTGGCTATGTGGCCTCTCTGATCCTTCAACATTCATCTGTCTCGATCTCTTTATCTTACTCTCACACTTCCTCACTCCCGGTATTTTAGTTTTCAGCGCACTATACCATTTTCCCAATTCTCCATTTCTCTCTGTCTCCCTCCCTGGTCTTAGGACTGGATCATAGCTCCAGAAGGATATGCGGCGTACTATTGCGAGGGAGAATGCGCCTTCCCGCTGAACTCCTACATGAATGCCACAAACCATGCCATTGTGCAAACCCTTGTGAGTAACCATGAAGGCAGGGAACAAAAACCCAGCAGTCATGTTAAGAGTCTAATCATTTCATCAACTGTCAGGAAAATGTTTCCATTGTTGGAACTACTGTATTTAATTATCCAAAACGGTTGGGGATTTTATTGTAGAGGATATTTGTCATTACTCATTCATGTTGTAATGATGAATTCAACATTTTAATTCCTCCTCCTCTTCCCAGGTTCATTTTATCAACCCTGAGACGGTTCCTAAGCCTTGTTGTGCCCCCACGCAGCTCCACGCTATCTCAGTGCTCTACTTTGACGACAGCTCCAACGTCATTCTCAAGAAGTACCGCAACATGGTGGTCAGAGCTTGTGGCTGCCACTAGACTGTCGGCATCTTCGCACAGAGACACACACACATACGCACACACACATCACTAGAGAGGGTTTTTCCTTGCTGTCAGGCACCAACTAAAATTTTTAGAATGGATGACATGATATAGTGCACGCACACGTATTTTATGATCATTCTGAGAGTTCCAGTGTGGAAGAAACTCTCGTTACGTTTTCAAGGTTGTCCTGAAGTAAACGCAATGTTGAGTGGCTGAATAGGAATATCGATCAAAGTACACACACACACACACACACACACACACACACACATTCATGTTTGTGCTTTCTACTGTGTATAGGAGACATTAAAAGCAGTGATTGTACTGTATATTCATTCACAGTCAACAATCTTTAGTTTATTTCAATTATTGTTATTGTAGTTAATTTTACTGTATTATATTATATATATTATATTTTATATATATATATATATATATATATATATATATATATATATATATATATATACTTTTTTTTTTTTTTATGGCCAAGAGACCCGGGTGGATGTTCTGAATTTCTTCTGTGTACAATACTGTGTAAATAATTTTTTTAAAAACAAACAAGAAGTGTATTTATTTCCTGGAATGTCACCTGGGTTTGTGTTTTCTCCTGTATGTAATGCTGCCTGTTTTCTTTCACATTATTGTACACACAGACTCTGAGGAAATGAAAACAAAGTTGACAGAAAACTACTTTGACATGAGCGTTGAGTTCAAACTCTATGCGCTTCCTCTCTGCCTCATGTGTACACGTACGCTGATGGTGAGAGGCAATTTGTGACATCTTGGACCTGTGGAAATGTCTGCACATTTCATCAGTCGAAGCTGTTATGTATACCTGACGCATGTTTTATAGCAACAATCAGCTGAACTGTCAAAGAGAGAGGGAGAGAGGGAGCTTTGTACGAAGCCTCATGTTCTGTGTGTTAAGACATTTTCAGGTTTCTATTCCTCTGCTGTAATACAATCTGTCATATTTAAAAGGTCTATTTATTGAGAGCTGGCTAATATGTTCTACAGTGTGCTCCGATGTCTCAGCCATGCTTTACTGCTGAACTGGTACAACAATAAACTGGGAGAAAAGCAACAAAACCACCTTGAGATGTGTTGTTTAATCCAGACGAAAAGCAGAATCAAATTGCGAAGCTGAAGGGGGAACACATGCTGGCACTACAATTTCTTGCTTGTTCCTGCACAAATATTTGCTTGGATTGTAGCTACATCCTTTACATGCTGACCTGAGATCTGCCTGAGAAGTGTTTCCACATTCACAAGCAAACTGAAAACTTTTCTGTTTTCTCAGGCTTATGATTACTTATTGTGTGCATGGTTGTCTGTGGTTTCTGCATGTGGGGTGGATGTGGGTTTTTTTCGGTCTTTAGGTGGGTGGATGTTTGCGCATGTATTTCAGCATAAAGCACACTGGTATTGTAATGAAATTTGCTATTGAAATAAAAAAGGGCATGGTATTTGACATTGACATTATACAGTATAGTAAGAACTGCATTCTGTGCATGTGTGAGTGTCTAATTTAATGCCTTTGACATGAAAGAACATATTTAAAGCACTTTTGGAAGGCTTTAGTAAAATAAGATAAGAGAATAGATAGAACTTTATTTAACTGGATGGAAATTGTTGTGCAGCAGTTGCAGTTTAAAGTAGGAAAGACTGCTAATATAAAGTGTTCCAATATACAATATCAACAACGTGCAAATCCAGAAATACACAATACCAAAAAATAAACACAAAATGAACAGTGAGGCTCATTCTTCTTGGGTTGCAATACAATCCAATACAACAGTCATGTACTAATGATCAATCATCAGTCTTTTTAATTGTTGACACTGCATAAGAGAGAACTACATTTTATGGTCATTTTTTAGGCTGGTTGTGTGGTTTTGTTAGATTGGAAGTTATTTCTAATATTTTTCTCACCCAATTGCTTATACAGAGGAGAAAACATATGCCATACAGAAAGAAAGTATATATAACCTTTAAAAGTTGTAGTTTCCTAAAGTGTTTATTATAAGAGTGCTGTGTTGGATTTTATCAGGGATTCTTTTCTGCCTGGCTAATGTTGTTGTTCTGGTCACTTGGTGCAGGTAACACAATCTGCAGGCTGTTAGGAGACAGGCTTTTGGCATCATGTTTTCCACTACCTTAAACAAATCCAAACTCCCACTAACACCAGCACCACCAGTGAACAGTACCACTGACTGACAAACCAGCTGTTTTTGAGATACTTTCTAACTGACACTTGAATTTAGATGAGCCCTGGATTTTACAGCATGTTAATTTCGTAACAGACGGTTGATTGGTCGATTAATTAACACACATCGCTTTGTGTGGCAGTGGGCAGCAGCACAGGCGTACACTGCCCTCTGCTGGGGATACAGTGTGCTTGTGTACACATCGATATGTAATGCTGTGAACCATTTATACATCTTTCTGATCGATATGAACTTTGGATTTTTATTGTCTGCCCCCTCAGTATCATTAACAGAGCTGAAGAAATGACTACACCTTCAGTCTGCATCATGAACCCTGTGAGGAAGAGGAGGAGTCAATGAGAAAAAAAACCCTTACACCCACATACTTTCATTTTCAGATGAACGTTTCGTTATGATTCTTACAAGTAGGCTAGCCTACATCTGTGTGTGAGTTTGTGTGCTCGTCATTTCATGTATTTAATGTTTGCGGGTACTGTCCAGTTGCCCACGTGCTGATTCCAGTGGGGGCAAATGAAACGAGAATTCCCCACTTAAGAAAACATAATTTTATTCAGCAGTTTTGTGGACTGCAGAGGTTAGCTGTCTGTTCCTCATTATTCACTGATTCCTTCTTCTTTAATATCATAAGGAATATGAGTTTTGTGATCAGTGACATATTATAAAGGGTTTATGTTGGTATCTGGCAACATACAATTGATTCTAATATAGACCTTAACAAACGCATGGCATTTGGAACTGTGTCGGCCTTGGCTGTTTATGAAATATTTTTACAAAAAGACAGTCTTTAACTGATTTGTAACCCAGTGATATGCTCGTTTATCACCCTCCCTCATGCACCTTACTTGGAAATGCTTAAACTTTCGCTGCAACTCAGCACGAAGGGGGAAACCGAAAGTATCAAATGAGCTGAAAACTTTCGCTTTCGCTCCCTACGAGCGCACTTAATTTTAGTAAGGACTTCTGCATTTAAGTTTGCGACGAGGACTGTTTGGCTATAACTTTTATACACTTCATTATATTATTAGGCAGCTTTATTGTGCTTAAAGTCATTTTCGAAGCTAGAGCCGTGTCCGAATAAAATATTGATGTTTTTTTCCGTTTGCAACGCGGGGACAGGATTAAAGTGTTTGAGCCACTTTGCACATGTAGAGTGCGTTTGTTCCGGTTGAGAGACATAGTCTGTGTTGAAGATGGAAGAAGGAGCGAAGATGCACATGAAAGAGTGGCTGATAGCCCAGATAGAGAGTGGGATATATGAAGGACTATGCTGGGAAGATGAGGACAAAACGATGTTCAGGATCCCGTGGAAGCACGCTGCTAAGAAGGACTACAAACAGACGGCAGATGCAGCTCTCTTCAAGGTGAACACTTTCAGTTTGTTTCAAATTCTAAAACATATCATGTGGATTCTTGTGAATTCAGTTCTGGGCTGTTTTGAATTTATTATGAGGAAGAAATTGATCCACTTTGACTGTTGAAGTCAGTTGGAAAAGAAAACCAATATTTCCCTATTTAGCTAGGCTAAATGTATTCATTTATTTGAGGCATATAACATGTCCATAAATATAAGATAAAATATTTGTGCACTGAACCATGTTGAGCTTCAACTTCGGTTTATAATTCAGCCAGTAGCCTAAAGTAAAACATAGAAGCCTAATAGTCCAGCCTGTTCCTTGTCTTGTTATTGTTCTCTTTTTAATCTCGCACACAGAAGCAACATTAATTGCCTAACTATTTTGAAGTACTTACTATCAATGCTTTGTAGGCTACTACTGCCCAACTCTGTGCAACTAAAAATTCCTTTGAATCCTGGTCAGTTATCATGTTGCAATAGTGTCAGTGGTTTCAAATGGCCAAGAAACAACAGTGTAAGAATAAGTACTTCTAGATTTGAGATTTGAGATTGCTGATACTTCAATGTTTAACAGTCAGCAGGAGACAGGCAAGCTTGAGTGAATGAATGAATGAAACGACTGTTCTACCTGTGTGTTGATTCTAATTCTGCTGGTTTCATTCACTTAAAGGCATTTAATATTCAGTCAAATGTCAAAGTCTATGCAGTAAATTCATTTCAAATTTTATCATTAGGTCTCAGAAATTAAGAAACAAATATGTACAACTCTGATCAAAATGCTAACCTGAAGAAAGGTATCTGTAGCTGTCATCAGCTGGTGCCTGTAACCAAAGGAAGGCCTTGTATTCGTGATTTAAACTGGAGGGGAGCTACAGTATCAAATTCAAACCTCAGGCATTTTATATGTAAGGCACCATGGCTCCAGATGACAAAACCATGGCTCAGCACTAATACAAGTTCACCAAAGTTAATTCAGTTAGACTTACGTTAGCACATGTAATGAACAATCTGAACAATTTATTCAGTAAAAGTACAATAAACTCACAATTTCAAGACTGATTGGTGACTTATATTTTTAAAATTAAGTAAGTCATTATTTTCTTACAGTATTCTGCTTTCACAATGCTCTGGATAGATTTGGTTAAATATAATTAATTACATATATTTCAGGGATAAATTGGGAAAAGGGAAAATGACACTGCTAATCAATGAATTGCAAAAAAATATTGTGTACTGAAATGTATGTGTTTAACCAGTAGTTCGTGATTTCCCCAGTTATTTTTTCATTAAATCATGTTTATTTGTTTCAATTGTCACTTTCAGGCCTGGGCTGTGTACAAGGGCAAGTACAGGGAGGGGAGGGACAAAGCGGACCCCACCATGTGGAAGACCCGCCTCCGCTGTGCACTCAACAAGAGCACAGACTTCCAAGAGGTCCCTGAACGCAACCAGCTGGACATCACTGAACCCTATAAAGTCTACTCTATCCAACACAACAATGTGCCAGCCAGGCCAGCAGGTGAAAACTAAGAAAACAGCTCCTTTTTTTTCGTCTTAGTGATTATATCTATGCTGCTTAGCAGTGGTGTCCATTTTATACTCCTAAAAGGCGAACCAAAGCAAATTAAACAAGGAATGAAATGCTGTTTTACATAATGAACAAAGGTTTTCAAATTTATTACCATTTTGTCATTCTTCCATCAGCTTTTTACCAATATGAAATAAACTGATTGTTGTATTAATTATTGGTTTATCTTTTGGATTTCTCTGTAACTTTAAATATCTGAGTCCTTCACTTGCTCTCATTTTTGTTCCCACTTCACAGAGTCTCCTGAGACAAAGGATCAAGTGATCATCCAGGCTAAGAGGTCTCCAAAAAGCCTTGGTTTTATGGACAAACAGGTATTCTAAAAACAAAGAACCAATAAGATATACAATGAGAAACTAACACTGAACTAATAATTGACAGTGGGTCATTTAGCCTACTGTTCTTACAGTGGACACAATTAAGAGAGGTTTCCTTCAGTCACCTCATGCTAAGAAACTCTGCGTGAGTGCAATCGGCTTCTTATAAATATAGGGCTAATTATTTCTGGGCTTTCTTTGTTTTTATCAGTGTTTATTTGGAGTTTGAAAAACCAATGAAAATCAGATTACAATGGCATACATTGTTTTTATTCAAAAATTCCAGTAAAAAGGTTAGGTGAAGAAGACCATTTATTTTCACTGTCTCTGTGTCAAATTAGCTTATTTAGTCTTTTTTGGTATTACCACAATGAGTCACCTGATTCAGAAATGTTGAAATCCTATGTATAGGGGATTTAATCATGTATTGATTAGTGTTCTGAGGGAATTTTTTTAGTGGAAGTATTTTTCTGAGCTACCTGCATCTAAAGACTATACACTGTACAAACTGTACACTTTACACTGTAGTGGACAACAGTGTCTCCTTGCTGAAGGAAAAAACACTTTTGGGGGGATATCAGTTTAAAATGATCTGATCTTATAAAAAAAAGGACCTGATACTTTAAAAAAATTGCTTTAAACCTCTTGCTTTGTTCACCTAATTTTGGTTTCTGTTTCTGTAGTTTCATTATCAAAAGGAATCATGTCAAGCAAGTAAAGAAGAAGATGAAAAGAAACCATTGACTGGTAAGAGTTATGCAAACAAACCGGTACTTCTTCTATAGAATAATTATGGGGGATCATGCCCATAAATTTCAGAAAGGCAGTAGTCTATAACTATTTTGCTTTACAACCCCCAACAATTAAGTTGAGTCTAGCTGAAACCCTCAATGCAAAGAATAGAAAGCTGCAATAATCAAGTCATCAAATGGCCAATAAAATCTAATCTATCAAATCTAAATATACATGTGGGCATAGTATTGTAATGGCCTGGCATTTGGATCCCATTTGAGCAATCCAAATAGAGCCTGATAGTATTTGTCCATTTACCTCATATGGGTTGCTAAATTGGCTAAAGTGGGGCAGACAACACTTGTAGCTGAAGTGTTGTCTGCCCTTTTTTGTGTCCCCTCACATTATGCGAGATAATTGGCATGCATGCTAGTGGTATGTCTCTAGGAATTGCAATGTTCAGGTACATATACAGTAAAGCATTGAGAAAGTACTGATCGCTATTCTGCTTTAGAGGGTCTGCTGAGGGAGCACATGTATTGTGAGCTCACAGGAAAGAAACCTCACAGTCACAGCCCTGCTCCTATTACCTTCTTCAGCCCTGCACTTACTATATCAGGTAAGAACGTTTATGGGATTATGCACAGGAACAAAACCAACTGAAAATGTCACTGGCTTTTGCATTGTATGACCTAGAACACAAGTTGCATTCTTTTGTGGACAGACCTTCGTATGCAGGTGATGTTATTGTACCACGGCCAGAGGGTGATGAAAGTGACCACCAAGAGCCCAGATGGGTGCTTCATCCTGCAGGGCTGTGTCCCCTTGGGAAATGAACGGATCTACGGCCCCTGCACTGCCCAGCAGCTCTCCTTCCCTTCCCCAGGCTCCGTATCCCTGCCGTCATGCATGGCCGAAGCAATGAACCGACTTCTTTGTCACCTAGAGAGGGGTGTGCTATTATGGGTGGCCCCAGATGGGGTGTTCATCAAGCGTTTCTGTCAGGGCAGGGTGTACTGGAGTGGGCCCATGGCCCCACACACTGACCGACCCAACAAACTGGAGCGAGAAAAGACCTTCAAACTGCTTGATATACCCACATTTCTCAGTGGTAAGTCAGTGCATGAGACACGCAGATTGTGTCACATCATTGGCCTATGTAAAGAGGCAATATGTTTATACGATCCAATAAGAATTTTCCAATATAAAATGTTTGTGTTCAGACCTCCAGAGCTGTTTACAGGGGAAGGGATCTACACCTTCTTATGAGATTGAGCTTTGCTTTGGAGAAGAATATCCAGACCCCAACATACCTAAAACCAAGAAGCTGATCATGGCTCAGGTGGGTTGAAAAAAAGACAAGAAAAGATTTTTTCTTCCACATTTACCCTGCATGCATATGTTTAGATTGTGGTTGTAGACGTGTCATATTTCAATTTTTGATTATATATTTGCCTTGTAAATCAAGGACAACACTGTTGCCACTCCCTTTAAAATTTCTATTTTATCATATTAAAGAAAATGTTCAACATTCTGAGGTACATCAGGTACACATTCATCTGTCCTTCTTGGAAGAATGAAATCACAATTACAGTTGAGTGTGAGGCAACCAAACATTTTTCTCTCTTTCATTAAAATTTGTGTTACACAGAGTTACACTTACACTAGAGTGATGTGAACATGTGTCAGTATGATTTGCTGTCAAAGGTTGGATCCATCTCATACATTTCTCAAATGCAAACACCATCAGGTTGGACTTACCTAAAGTTATATGTGCTTTTTATGACATGTTGAAAAGTATATAAACTCTATAATCAACAATACTTTTAACAATACTTAAAAAATATTGCTGTGTAAATGCTCTCTGCGGTAGTATTTTAAGCCACCAGTAGAGGTCCTCCTAAGCATACTGATTATGTACTACTCTGTGTCCTGTTGTGCCAGGTGGTGCCCTTATTTGCAGTGGAACTGCTGCAGAGATTCAACTTGGGTGAGATTGAGGATATGCGTCCAGGTCTCAACTCCAACACAGAGGGTGAGAAGATGTAGGAAGATGGGGAAAGGTTCCCTGCACCAGGGTAGCCATGAACAATATACAAGCGGATTACAGAAACTTTATTCCTTTCCTGTCATCATCATGAAAGACATCCTAAGAGCAGAGCAAAGAATACAGAATATCATCAGTGGAGATGTAAATATGATCGAGAAACAATGAAGGTGGTGCATTGTAGACCTATTAGCAATGCATAAAGGGAAAGTAATGTCCTTTATTCTTTTTACCTTATATTGATTTTTTTCACATCCACCATGCAGCTAAATTGGCAGGAGTTATTAGCTACTGTTAAAACAAACTTTTTTTTTTAAACTATGTTAACCCCATATTCAGCATATGTATTAAATGATAATTTAAACATATAGTACTTTACAACACATGCAGAGAATAAATTGACACATTTCATAAATCTATAAAGCTTTTTTCCTTTATTTCTAGCGAACATCATATAACAGATTCACAATTTTTTAAAAATATACATTTTGTTGCTATAACATTTAAAAAGAAAAATCAACAAGGTTCTCTTTTTGAAAATAAAATTTAAAAAAAACAAACACAAAAACTAAAGTGAGAGTGTGTGCTGAATCAGAGGAGATACCCGTATCTGAGTTTAAAATACTTTCATCATTTTCCCTGCCTTCAAACATATACAGTACGTAAAAAATGAGATGGGAACAGAAGCGTACAGTACACAGGGGTCAAGAGTATTCACAAAGCATCATGTTCCAACGTGTTATTAGCACCATTACTCTTCAGCCATACTGCACTTTTTACTCTTTCCATCATTCAGTTTTTAATGGAAAAACACCATGAGTGTCGAGGCGATGTGGCACAGACCTGTCTGTGTGGGTGGGATTGTCTGTTACGCAGTTTTCATTAGTGTTCTCCCTTTGTCAGAGATAATGTTAAGAACATATTGGAGGGTAATGCCTTGACGAACAAATGTGTGAAATGACTCCCAGTGACGAGAATAAAAAAGGCGAAGAGTTGCTCATACATTCACCTTGCCTGCCCAGGCCGACACGTAGGCATTGGCTCAGAAGCAAGAAAGAAAACAAAAATGCATTGCGAAATTGACAGAGAGATTGCATTAAATCTGTTTAGCATATTTACTGTATATAACATTTGTAATGTAATATATATAGTCAACTTTTCATATATATCTGCACTTCTTCAATAGTGTTTTTTCTAACACTGATTGAAAATTGATACCCTGCGGAAAACACTGTCAGTAAGTAGGTGTGTGGGACAACCATTACAAAAACAGAGTGAACACAGACAAGTGCTTGATTGTCTCACTAAATGTCTTATGTGTATCTTTAAGGAGCCATCCAGAGATCCTTCAAATGCTGCTCCTTCCAGGGCTGTGTTAGGTAAGGTTGTGGACAGGAAAGGAAAGGAAAGGAATGGAAAGGGAAGGGAAGGAAAGGTGCAATAAGGGCTAGCCTAGGTTGGACAAGGTTAATATTTTGGGCAGCAGTGTGGACACCCGTAAATTGTGTGTTCTATAGTTTTTTTTTATTCCTTCCCTGCAACCCTGCCTTGAGGTCTCTCAATTCTTTGTCTTGATGGGTGCAATAGAGACAAGGAGGGTGTGTATGTGCTTGCGTGTGTGTGTGTGTGTGTGTGTGTGTGTGTGTGTACAGTAAGTATGCATGTTTCATATGCATATCCGAGTTTCTACTGCCACTTCATTAGCTTGGAGCCATGAGGTAAATCCAGGAGGCTTTCATCAGTTCCAAGTGAGGGAAGGGTGTCCGGGGCAGACCAGCGCCGTTTGCGTGGACGCGGCTGCTCCTGAGCGGGAGGGTCTGCAGCCAAAGAGCGTGGAGGGGCCGGTGTGGTAGTAGGTGGGTGGTGAGGAAGAGGGGGAGGAGGAGGGGGAGGCGGCATCTCCTCCCTGTGCGAGCTGCTGGACTCTCCTGCAGCCCTGGATGAGAGTTGCGTGCGATGGGCCCTGGAGCTGGTACGCGTGTGTGTCCGGTGGGTTTGGGTGGGGGTGGGGGTGAGAGCCAGGCAGACATCCCCTTCCATGAGCTGGCGGCAGGGCAGGCCATACAGCTGTGTGGTTCTCTGGGGACAGCAAGAAGACCAGCCTCGGTCCTGCACAAAGAACGGGTACTCCACCAAGACCTTCAGTAACTCCTACACAAACCACAACATTGTTATACACTCAACCATGAGGTATCTCATGTCCGTCATGTATTTTCATATGAGAAGATCAAGGCTACTACAGCCTAAACTGTGTTGATTTGCATCAACACTAATCTTGCCATGCAGTTATTCATTTAATTATTTCTGATAATGTTGTAATATAAGAGTGTAAGCTGAAGCATGTATCTAAAGAGAAAGCTGACCTGAGTGTTGCGGTCTGTGAGGTGGACCTGCAGGTGGCTGAAGCCCTGTGTACTGCTGGGGGAAATCAGCAGCACAGTGCAGGTGCTGAGGTGGAACTCCGGAGAGGTATCTGCACTCCTCAGGAAGTCCTCTGTCCGCAGCTCCTCCACCCGCTTCAACCGCCCACTGGCCAACTCAATCAGAGAACCCTTGGTGAAGTGAGGTAGGAGCGCAGGGGGAGATGAGTGAAGGCCCGGGGGTGAGGTGTGAAGATGGGAAGGAGATAACTCTCTCCCTCTGTCTCTTTCTCTGTTCTGTCGCCTCTCACGCTCACTATCTCTTTCTTGGTCTTTGTCATGTTGTAGGTGCTTCTCTTTGTCTTTACCTCGTTCCCTGTCCTTTTGTAGGATTTTTTCTCTGTCTCTTTCTTGGTCTCTTTCCCTGTCTCTTTGCGACCTGTCATGGCTGTTAGGCAGACCCAGGGGTGAGTGCGGTGAGTTCCTTAAATTGTGCTGCCTGGAGCCTGGCTCCCTGTGCAGGTTGTACAGAGGTGTTCCTGAGGGGCTGTAGAGTGGGTAGGCCTGGGCCTGAGGGCTGGGGTGGCACACCGATCCCAAAGAGTAGTAGATCTGAGCTTCAGCTGGTGTAGCCCCTAAGGGGTCCAATAGTCCTCCTCTACCTGCCCTGGGGACTGGTCCCAGGGGAAGGGGACTGGTGGAAAGTAAATTGGAGTTGGCCTTAACTATCCCATGCGGAAGTCTGTCCTGCAGTGAGGAATGTGGCTCAGGGCCCTCCTGAGCTTGAGAGTCTGACAAAAATGGCCCTCCAGAATGGACACGGGATGTTAGATCCTCTTGAGGTCTCCGTCCACCGTTGGTATGGGAGCTGTGTGGACTGATGTCCAGCCTGGTTCTGCTGCTATCGTTCCCATATTCTCCTGTGAGGAGAGGCCTGGAGGTTGAGGCAGTCCTGCTGCCTGGCCCATCCAGGCCGTTGGGCCTCTTGCCCAGGTACCTGTGTCTGGCTTCAACTAAGCTTGAATCTTGAGGGTAGAGAGAGTGGTGACTAAACAAGTACGAGGGGGAGAAAAGAGAGGAGCTGCTGTCTCGCCGCCCACTGTTAATGTAGGGCCACATTTCTCTAGAATCTGCTGGGAAGGGAGTCTTAAAGGAAGAAGTGGAGGAGGAAGATGGTGAAGGTGGCAAGGAGAGGGGCCCTTCTCTACTAAGCCACCTGGAGTGGTGGGGCAGGGCTGTAGAGAGAGGGTCATCTCTCCAAGCAGGAGACCCTGAGCCCCTCCTCTCACTAACCTGACCTGGGAAAAGGGGGAGAGAGACAGAGGGGGAGTAACTCAGGTGCCATGGAAGGGGCAGCGGGAGGCCTGGTGCAGGAGCAGGAAGGGGTGGAGGAGTATGTAGGAGATGGAGGTTTGGGTTAATCAGAGCTCGGTCCCTGTCGCTGGCCTCCCTGCTTCCCTCCCCTCCCCCTGTGCTGGACCGACTTCGGAGCGGCACAGGGGGTTTAAACTCATCCAGAGGGACGTGGTGATCTGTCGATCCTTGCCGAGATTCCCTCTTCTTGGGAGGGAGGCACTCTTTGCCGCGGTCGGGGCTGGGATTCATGGGTGGGCTCCAGCGGCAGTGGGGGCCCCCTGTGTGTGGGTGTAGGCTAGGTCACATGGGCCTCACGGGAGAACGAGGGGCGCAGACAGAGGGGAAGGCTGCTACACAGCATCACTCTCAGATCACTGTTGATTCTTTTTTACTGAAGCACCACTCACCTACAGAGAGGATGAAAGAGGACAGAAACAGAGATAAGGTAGGTAAAAAGGAAGGACAGGACAGAAACAGAAGTAAGGGAGATTAAGAGTGAGCATAGAAAAAGAACAGTCTGTCGGGTCCTGGCATCACTTGTTGTTAATACTTCACTGTCTGGTCAGGCATGCAAACAAACATTCAGCTGCATCAGACAGATGGAGAGAAATCAGCCAGTGGCTCCTTCATATAAAGTGCTTTAAAAAGGTTTGAAATTTTTGATAGCTGTCACTAATTAGTCATTACCTATTTGCACTGCGGTGGGATTGAAACTACCCAACTTACTCTTTTCATTCAAACACATTACTCCCACATGTGGGTTAAAAATACATTTTGCAGCCAATGAAGTTCAGAGGCAGTGAAGTATGTGTGTAAAACACACACACAGACACACACACACACACACACACACACACACACACACAGCACTCACAGCAGGAGAGTTTTCATCTCTGACTCTCAGGGGATGATTGGAATATGTAGATATGTTTTTGTACCACTTTCATGAACCACCCCCACGACACCCCCGGGTGTTCTCTGTATTCTATATAAGCCTACTACTAGCACCCCCCACCCCTTCTCTTTCAGACACACACACGGACAGCAACAGACACACAAATACTCCCTCAGGGCGGCTGTACTTACTCCCCCAGTGATAGGCAAAGCTGGTCACCACCCACCCAAAAGCTGACAGAAACACTGTTGATATTACCACCAGTTGTTGTGGATACAGGATATGTGTCTTTGCATATTAATTATGTGTCACAGCAGGGGTGTGGGGAAATGTGTGTGTGTGTGTGTGTGTGTGTGTGCGTGTGTAACTTTTCTTTCTGGGAGGAATGTGTGAATGTGTTTATTTGTTTAGGTCTTTGTGTGTGTGTGTTTGTGTTTGAGTCCTCGAATGTGTCAGAGATTTTGCAGCCTTGTTTCATTCAGTGAGAAGTGCGGGGGAGCTCTACTAATTCTTCTCCAAACGTTTTAAATGAGCTCTTTTGAAGTGATGGTTGCCGCGCCGCCAGCCCAGCTGTTCCCTCCGCCACCACCACCACCACCACCATCGCCGCTTCTGTCGGCCGCCACAACACCACAACAACATGCTGCCAGTCAGCCCCGCACTCACTCGCATGTCTGTCTCAACAGCTTACCAACTCCCTGCCGTCTCACCATCCACCCCACTGTCACCATGGCAACTGTGTCCACACACACACATCCAGTCAGTTAAAGAGGTTGGATGGGGATACTCCACGGAGAGGCGGGTAAACTGTTGCTCATCAAGTGACTTGGTCCAAAAACAGAATAAGTGTTAGAGTGGAGCAAGCTGTTTGTGCATCTGAGTGGAAAAATGAAAACTGAGCAGTGAGAGGATGGGGGATTCAATGTCCCAGACACTGACAGGACAGGTGTGATGGAGTAGAATGCGGAGAATGTCTATGATAGCCAATTATTAGGTCATGAACATGAACATGAACATGTTCCTGTTAGTGCAACTTAGGAGTTTCAGTTCAGCTAAATGATAACACGCTGTTCTGTGGGCTGAAAAAGGCCAGATAAAAGGCCTTCAGACAGCAGCAAGTATTGGAAATCATTACTTATGTAATCCATTCACATCTTCATTTATAGTTTTCTATCAATATTTTTTATTAATTATTTTTAATTAATTAATGATTATCTCATAAATCTATTAAATGTGAGAGCCAGTTCAGTATCATAAGATCAACATAGCATCAGTATTAAATAAAAAGAAAAAACTACAAATGAATGTTTCGATTATCAAAAATACATTTTGACAATTAAAAAGAGAAAAGAAGCAACAACTATTGAATGCGTCCCACATGGAAAAGCTAAACTAGAATCCAGATTTCTTTTTGAGGACAAAAATCTGGTTTCAGTTTTTGTCCTCAAATGACTCAGTGTCATTTCGACAGCCCTTATGAAAAAGGTTGTCAAAGTAGACCTAATATAAACTTGCCAAAAAAGTACAAGAAAACAAAGAACACAATTGTGCATGTGGAGGAGTTTGCAGAGAAACGTCTTCTAACATAATACTCCTACACTGTGCAGACATGCACACAGAGCTGGAGTTTAGCTGGAGCTACTGTGGCTATAGAGTTTAAATATATCAAAACTGACACATCACGAGCATAATGATATTACACCTTCCTTCCAATGAAATACTCCTCAAGACTTTTGACTTGCTACGTAAGCACAAATGCTATTTATCTAAAACATTGTTTAAATTTTTTGTGCTTCATACGAATAAAAATAAAACATGGTCTAAAACAGTTAGTTATGGTTGCATATTAAAATGTAAAGTGGTTACATTCTTCAAATTGTCAAATTAGACATACCTATTTGTACAGCTCCCCTCATCCCGCCTTTTCTTTACATGCATTTCTCAGGAGAACTGTCAGACATACCTTTATACTCATGACAATGAGTTTGCAATGCAAACCTTGAAAAAACAGAACTAAAGAATATTACTCTCTAGTTTTGTCTATTTTGTTATCAAAGAAACATCAGTTGATAGTCCAATAGTGCTAAAAGCAACAGCTTTTTTAATCCAAAAGGGCAGTTAGAGAATTGAGGAGCAGGCAGACAGGTTGATGGAGTTGGTAGTTGTTGTCATGTGATGTGAACACTGACCTTAGTGCGGGCTGTGCAGACGTCCCTGTGTTGACAGTCATTCATATTCCAGTCCTCCCAGAGGGTCAACCCACTCCTCAGCTCCTCACTGTGCTACACTGCTCCTCCACAGCACCACTGCCAGTTACAACACCCGCAGATATCAGCAGCCTCCAGCTACACACTGCCTCTGATCTCTGTACGCATAAAATAACACCAGCGAGCCCACCAATCTGAGGGAAAGAACTGAGAGCCTGCTATTCGTCTCTGTGTCTGTTGTGTATGTGAGTGTCAAGAGTGTGTGTGTGTGTGCTTGTGTGTGCAAAGGGCTGAGGAAATGAGTAATATCTAGCAGTGAGAAACATGTCTGCTATGCAGAGCCACACAGGCAGACCAGTTGCTGCTGCCGCCCACTTGCTTTAATCACTGTGAGGGATACAAACATGCACACACACACACACACACACACACACACACACACACACACACACATATGCACACACAAATTTTCACACACAAACAGTCAAGGATGCAGCACATACAGATAATATACAGGATGATTTATGCTGCCTTGGTACTGTCTCATGTTATCCTTTCCACATAACTTTAAACAATTAAATTTATCTCTTAACATGAAAAGCCATTAACTAATAAATGAATCTATATTTCTGATTTTCAGAAGACATGTTTGCACATAAAAGAGAGGGAAGGATGGAGGGGCGGCAGAGAGACAGTTGATGAGAGACAGGGAGAGTGGTGGGAGGCTCATCCTACATGCACTCTCAGACTTAGGCTTTTGCTGCTGCCTCTGACTCAAAACTGAACCTCACATCCATCAAGCACACACACGCGCGCACACACACACACACACACACACACACACACACACACACACACACACACACACACACACACACACACACACACACACACTAATGCCATACTCATTCTTTTTGTTTATCTGTAGTTTTCATCTGAATTTGTGTCCTTTGTTCTCATCAAAGCACTTTGTTACGTACCTGTTGTTAAAAGAGCTTTTCTGAATACATTTGATTTGACTTCATATGCACACACACACACACACACACACACACACTCAAACAGGCTCATACGCTAACAGGACTACTGCAGGAGAGCTCTGAATGATTTGCTTCAGTGATTCAGTCAGTGCAAGTAAAGTGTGTGTAGGTATGGCTGGTATGGCTTTTTAGGACTGAATTGGTGAGAGCAGTGTGGTTCATTCACGGCAAGAAATCAGAAAGCTGTCAGTATTAAAACCTTTTACAAAATGACAAACAGGCTCAAGGTTGAAAATGCAACAGTATGCAAATAACTCCGTCTGCACCTCGTCAAAGAAATAAACCTCAGTTCAAACAAGCTTATGTTAATTACCAGCACAGAAAAGCAATACAGGAGCGAGAATGTAAATTGCAGCGCAGGGGGAAATAGGATTTAATGAAGCAATCAAATCATTATTGGTGGTTAACTGTAAAAAGCAATCTTTATGTTCTTTCACATTTCTGAGAGCAATTCATCCAACCTTTCAAACTCAGAGCAAAATGTAGACTTGTTACCAACAGTAATTTAGAGGTTAACCTTCTCTAACTTCTCAACCTCAATGCAATGGAAAGCTAATCAGACTTGTAGGTGTGTACAGACACATCAGCTTGAAGGCCACAGTGAGTCTCCTCTGACATTAAGGTGAAAATAACTTATTTTTCAAAGTGAATGCTGTTTGAAGATGATATGCACTGAGGTTGTGTGGGCACGATCGCTGTCTACTCTGGCATTTGCTGTACTCATGTGGTTTCATTACAAGTATCACAATTAATAGAGAGCAAATATGTCTATTTGTTTTAATTCTGGAATTTTTTTTTTATTAAGATTAAACTATTTTGGAAAGTAGGGCCACATTGTGAATAGTAATCAATGTTCAGTCTCAGCAAATAAAAGTAACAACAATATCTAATTGGTAGGCTATAATTAAATTAGAAAACAATCATAAAGATTATATGAAATAAAGAAAATATCAAAATCACATTAATTCATATTAAATTAAAAAGGTAAATATGCCAAGAATTACAGGCTTCTTACTTATTTATAAAAGTTACTCTACGGTACTTTTCTTTAGATTTAAAAACCTTAATAACTAATTTGACTGTACAGTTGAGAGCATGTAAAAATAAAATTGCTTCTTGTATCATTGCATGTTTACCTTCAAATCAACCCATTGCTCATAAGGAGTCAGAGTTGACATGGTAATTTTAATTGAATTGTCCACACAAAATAAAGATATTTTTAAGTAATTTGATTAAAACTCATAAATCCTACTTTGTGCATTCATGTATTAAAAAGAAAGAAAGATGGTTACGCAAAATAGAATTATTACTTTCTTCTAATTATTGTTGACACTTCTGCCCTGTAATCAGCATATATCACTAATTTTTATAAATGTACAATATCTTACTTATAATTCTGCATAAATCACAACACTATGTTTCATATACATTAGAGAATATAGTCCAGTCAGAGTGAAAGAGAAGGAAATAGAGTATGGACCGGGTTCATCAAAGGATGTTTACGACAATACAGAGATATAGAAATGACTGTTATGCTCTACTTATGCAGGCACACTTTGATATTTTGCATGTTGAACTCACACACAAAGACAGACAAACATCAACACAAGCAAACTCACTGTGGAGTCATACTGTCTGTCAATCATTTATGGCACCATCAGACTTTCTCCCTCTCATACTTGCTGTTTCTGTCTGTCTATCTGTGTGTCTCTCACTCTCTCTCTGGCTTTACACTATTTAATCTGTCCATCACAAACATACTCACACACTCATAAACATACAGGGTCAGGCCCAGACAAAAAAGGTCAGATGAGTCAGACCACACTCAAAAAAGCATAGTGGTGGAAGTGAAAAGTAGCAAAAGGGGTCCCACAGGTGCAACTTCAGAGAGTGGATTCACTATTCTTTCTATTGAACAGAAAACATGTTTCACCATCTTGGCTTCTGGTCCTTTTAAAAACCAAATCTAAACACCATTTTGCATTGCCCCCCTCCCTTTTTTTATGTGGATGCCTCGTATGGGGTGTCTGATCACGTTTCAGGCTGAGCGGGGATCTATGATGGACGTCTGATGCAGCAGAAATTTGTTGCTGAATGTAACAGATCTGAACAGAGGGGAGAGTAGAGGAGAGTGGAGGGGAGGGGGGTAGAGGACACAACAGATAGATAGATTGATAGAGAGAAAGAGAGAGAGAGAGTTGGAGTGATGGAGGGAGGAGGGGGGTACTACTAGCTCCTTGTGTGGTGGCTTACTCCACAAGGAGCCGGGCTAAGCTGATAAAAGGGCAGGGTGATACGGGTGATAGCTTACTGGGCAAAGGGCCAGGTCAGCCTTCGGCGCCCTGACCCATTCTTCAACAGGATGAGCACTATGAGGATGGGCTTATGGCTCAGGAGTTACTATTAACACCCACAAACACACACAGAGTATGCTGCATGTACAGAGAAAAGTAAACATGCACGCAAAGAGTCATTCTAAGATTGATTTTTTATGCAAATGTACTCAGTCTTGACAGACTTACAAACCTTCCTCTGGCAAAAATAATGAAATATCTGTTTTTGATTTAGAATAAGATCAACTGGGTATGCGACAAAATAAACAGAATATACCAACTTCTAAAAGCAAGAGTTGTAAATATTGCAAGAACAGAGCGAATTGGAATAGAGTAGGACAGTGTAAGTGTAGAGGGTGACGCCTGAGATGTATTGCTGGGTTAATCCCTGTGAATCCTAACTGGTACGGCCTAAGGCAGGCTTAGTATAGTTCTGGGAGGAAATCCCCCTGTGTAGTGGTACATGCCATTAGCCCCTAGGGTATAAATAGGGCAGCTATGGCTCCTTAAGCTGGCTTTTACGCAATATCAGTTAAAAATATGACTTGACTAATTACACGCAGGTCAGCCAGTCAGCAGAAGCAAAAAATTCCTCCACCTCATTCTCCTCTTCCTCTGACCATGGCAGACTACCACAGTGTTCCTTCCTTTGTCTCTGTCTCTCCCTGCTTCTGTAAATACACACAGACATATATTGCACATACAAGTGTTCACGCAGAGATCAGCAGGGAACAAGTGGAACCGTATACAGGTATACTGCAAACCTTGTGGCTGACATTTTCTAAGGCGGGTGTCATGTTGTTGTCATTCATTGACATTTAGGTGTCTACTGATGGGAGTTTCATCTTCGCTCTTTTCCACTGCCTCAATCTGATAATATGCCTCTTATGAGGCATCTGCACCAGCTCTATTTTTCAACCACACTTTGGTTTCAATTTGTTGGCATCACATGCATTACAAAGACGTAAAGAAAAGACATGAAACAGAATCAAATCTGCCACTATTGGTTAGCATTGACAATAGTGACAGCAATTCTTATGCAAGTGCGGTGATGTCACATACTGCTGATGCACAGTCATGTTTTTGGATTTCCATTCTTGCAGCTCACTTGTTTGTTTTTCTAAATTAGTTTTCCAACTTTTTACATGCTCAACTTCACTGGCTCACAGGTAACAGTCCCTCTCGCTAGTTTGTGACATTAGCCCAACGCCGAGCCCTTGATGCGAGTAGTACTCTCACACTATGAGATCAGTAGCTTACAAGGGGGGTTGAGGGTGGAGGAGAGGGGAAAGAGAAAGAAAGGAAGAGAGAGAGGAAGAGAGAGACTCAGCGAGTGAGACAAAGTCTGATGGGGTAGAAACAGCTAAAAAAAAGGGAGGACAAGAGTGTGTGTGTGTGTGTGTGTGTGTGTGTGTGTGTGTGTGTGTGTGTGTGTGCGAAAGAGGAGGGGGATTACTTTTCATTCCAAAAATTTGTTGTCTTTGGCACTGTCCCCTGGCAACTGCCAGTTAAACTGGGTTTCTGTTGGATCTCTAGTTTTGCAGCAAAATGTCAGCAAACTGTAAGCAGCTCCATGGAGAGAGCATGGCCAGGTCTCCCTTTGGTAGCTAAAGTGCCATTCATTTTCAGAGAGACTGTCTAGACTGGCTTCATAGATACTGTCTGCAGTACCTTTATCACTGCTGGTATTCAAGGCAACATTGCAATACACTGCCATTATTGCTATTGCTCTACAACCCCACCCACACCAAATCTGCTGCCCAGCCACACACGGTCACAGCCATTTACTAAACACATGGCTTATGCTGTTTGTTATAGAGGGTGCTGCAAATTAAATTGAAATAGGATTGAGTGGGCTTAATGCTTGTTTTCAAAATGAGAATAGGGATAGCCCCAGTCCCACTTAAGAGAGAACCTTTATCACTCAGCTATTTGATAATCTCTGCTAATTATTACTAAATAAAAAAATGACATCAAATTGAATTTGCTGAGTGATTTTAATGTTGCACAGAATAACACAAAAGAAATGAATGAAACAAATGAATAGCAAAGCATTGCAAGGGTAGGGAATGTAATACACATCCAGCTTCAGGACAGGCTTTCAGGACACTATTGATGCTATAGGCTACAGGATGTCTCAAATGTTACACTTTCTGTACAGTGATACCAAAACCGATACTGGGCAATATATTGTGTTTGTGCATGTCGGGTCTGTCTGTATGAGGGAGAGGATTTACTTGCATGGGCAAAGAGGCAGGTCTGACTGAAAAGGTGTGGGTGTAAGTGGTGGGTGGCAGGGATGAAAGGTTGCTGACCCCTATTGTAGATGAAGTGTGGAGGAGGAGGAGAACATACTGCTTGATCATACGCAAGGGTTAGGGAGCCAGGGCCAAAGAAAATGATCTGTACGAAGACAAAGAGCAAAGAAAGCTCAGATAACTGACAGATTGCATATGCATGTTTGCATGCACACACACACACATCTTCACTCCACAAGTAAGTGAATCTGAATGTAAATGCATGTTATAATATATCACTTTCTGCACCTTCCTCTCACGGTACGCCGAGACCGACAGGTGTGTCTGTCACCTTTAAGTAGTCTGGCATGGTGTCAATTGTATTCAAACACCTGCCTCTGTTTGGGATTATTCGCCACACTCCTGGCTCCCCGGCTGAGCTCCCAAGCCAATTCTCATACCCTTCCAACTGTGAGAGTGCAGATCTGGGAACAGTGGTACCCTTGACTGATTCAAAAATCCCATAAACACACAGCTTATTCAGAATCAGTATATACCTTAGGAGGAATGTGTTCAGTACCATTTAGTTTTGACTGTTTCTTACATAACTTGCAGTAAGACAAGTTAATTATAGATGTGGAGCAAAGAGGAATCAGTTGGTAAAGAAAATGAATACAAGAACAAGGTTATTTGGGGTTATGCACCTCAAATGCCTGTTTAACTGCAGCACCCACAAAGGGAATTTTCTCAGAGCAGACATATAACACACAGCCCTAAAAAACACACATTCATGCCCAACGTGAATAGATGCATACAATCATGTAAATGTAGTCTTTACGTGAATGTACCCTTCACTCTCTAAGTTTTCCCTCTCTGTCTCTTTCACTTTCAGTCCCTCTAACCCACCCACTCTCGGTCTTCCTCTGTGTCTTTCCCTCTCACTCATGTGGCTGGCTATATGAGAGCACACACTCAACGTGGGTGAGAGTGCTAGAGTAGAGTATATGACTGTCAACACAAGGTGCAGGGTGTGTGTGCGAGTGTGTCTGCCTGCCTGTGTGGTGCTGTAGGTGGAGAGGCACAGCAGGGCGTGAAGGAGCGCTGTGATAATGACAGGCCATGCATTATATAACATGCAGATTGCATAAGGAGAAGATTATTTTAGGTCCAGATATTGAGGATGTATAAGTAATTTTTTTACGTGGGTGTACAGCACCATGCACACCTCTAAGTGCATGGATGTGTGTTTGTGTAAAAATGTTCAGAAATGCGCTCATTTTTGTGGCTTCTTTCGAGGAGTGTGTGGGTGTAAGTAAACTAAAGTGTATTATGTGTTTGTAAGAAGGGGGCATGAATGTTTTCAGATTTCTTTCATAGCTATCTGCATATCAAAACAAGTATGTGGGAATGTTGGCACATTTGTGTACAGTGTGCATAAGGGTGTCTTTATTGCGAGCTCCCACTCATTATCACTTCTAGACTTCAGAGAGATCCACTTGAAAAGGGCTGATTCTCTTTGCCAGGCTCAAACCACGTAACTTCCAGTTTTGATGATTTTCGTGTTTGAGCCTGTGTATAACACATGCTCCTCTATTGGCTGAAAAAGTTCTCTGACTCTTACTCTCTCTCGGCCACTCAGTCACAAGGTTATGGTCCTAAAGGATGTGTTGTGTGGAGTCAGAGAAGTGAGGCACAGCAGATAGAGTCTCCGTGTGCCACTGCCTCCTCTGTGCGCCTCGCTCCATGCATGAGTGTGCCCCTGTAAAAATAGACCTCTTAAAGGGCCAGCAGCCACTCAACCTTCTCTCACAAGAGGCCTGTTCTGCTCTTCAGGGTGACAGTAAGAAACATGGGATGGGAGAACATGCTGTATTTCTCATTCAGCCCACAGAGACAATGTGTAATTCGGTGTCCCAAAAGATATCGAAACCCACCTAAAATTGATATCTAAATTCAGTTTCTCTTTGCAATCTTTACATCATTCATGGTCGCGCTTCTCTAGTACGTAAAATAAAGCTCCAGGTTTTATTAGTAAGTTTGTATAAAGTACATATCAAACACAAGATATCTGGGTTTTGAAGCCACCTGACAACAGCCAGAGCCCCACCGTTGCACAAACTCTCTAATACACCACAAAGTCCTTGCTTCAACATGTTAGAGACAAATCCAACACTAGAAACTGCAAGCAAAACTTGCTCTTAGGAAATAAGGCACACTTTGTAATTATGCCCTTAGAACGAACATTTATAGGAACAATCTCTCAGTGACATAAGACTTCCTGTACACGCCGGCAGATTGTCCTCATAATTGAAATAAGTGAATTAAGTCAGCAGGGACAAATGTTGTACGTCTCGCTTGAAAGACATCTATAGCTTAGAACTGTTTGAACCTGTGAAGTGCTCCTATATGCAGCATATGGGAAATCACTGCAGCAGAAGGACAGCGCCTGCTAAAACAGAAATAGACATTCAGAAATCATAATCGTGCACACTGGCGTAGTATTTTTCCATCGAGAATGGCGAGAAATGAGTAGGGAACTGAGTGTCGTCAGAAACAGAACCCCAAACATAGCTCTGTGTTCCCAACAAAGCGATGCGGGAACAGACTCATTTAAAGTCCTTCACCCAGTATTGTTGAGAAGTTGTAATTTAAAATGAAACGTGACATTGGATGTTCTTCCAGTGCTTGTTTTCTCATCTATCCTGTACACTGCTTGAATAAGAAGTTTGATTACAGACGCCTGATGCACCTGCTCCTACACATCCTCCCTTTGATTGCATGAGATCGTCTCCCAGACTTCCCCCCAACATCTGCACCTCCTATTTTCTATTTTCTTTTCTCGTCCTCCTCCCTCATTCGGTCTCTTTCCCCCGACTCGACAA